ATATTAGTATTACATGTACCTGTATTGTGTCTATTCCTGTTACAGTTATTAGTAAAGGAGACTGAGATACAACAGTTGAAGGATCATCAAACTGAAAAGGAACAGCTACTGGAGCAAGTTAGTACCGATATGATGTACATGTACATGTATGCTCCTCCCCTCTCCTTATAAGGTAAGGTCCATCACTGATGATGACGATATTTTTGGATTTTTTGATACTCAAACCGAACGACTGATGGGCCTGGAATCAGACAAGAATCAATTGAATTTGATAATTAATGAGTTACAAGAAATAATTGATAATAATAATGAAAAGATTAGAGAACAAGAAGTATGGAATTATTATTATTATTATTATTATTATTATTATTATTATTATTATTATTATTATTATTATTATTATCATCAATAGGTTGAATTATCATATTATTCTGAGTTAAAGAGAGATCACGAGTTATTGAAGACACAGCAACTGTCACTGGAATATAAACTGGAGACATACCAAACTGAACACATTAACAGGTAGTGGGTGGAGCTAGTTATAAGTACTAGTTATTAATTACTGGTTATTAATAGTGAAGGAGAGTTATTGAAGAGATTGGAGTCACTGAAAGAAGATAATGAAATATTACAAGAAAGAATTAATGCACTAACAATGGAGAATGATACCATCAGTACAAGACTGGAAGAAACTACACTGGAGTGAGTGTATGGGTAATTAATAATGCATTAATTAATTAATAATTATTAATAGATTGACTAGTTGTAAAGGAAGACTATCATTATCAGAAGAACAGCTGAACAGGTACTTACTGTATATACTACTGAATGATGAGTGACACTGATTGGTACTGATCATTGATTCATACTGATCACTTTGATTGGTACTGATCTCATTGATTCATACTGATCACTTTGTTTGGCACTGATCATTGATTGTGTGTTCAGGTTACAGGAACAAGAAGAATTGACTTTTAAGGAGAAAGAGGAGCTTAGATCATCACTGGAAATATTACAAGAAGAGAAGTCGAAACTACAACAAGTTAGTAGAGGAACTTTAACATCATGATACAACAGTTACTGTAGGATAATACAGTAATGGTTGTTAGTATACATATCAGTAATGAGTGTTCAGTATTGGTGTATGGTAGTGACTGATATATCTATTGTGTATTGACTAGGAGTATCAAGAGATAGTAAAGGAGAACGCTTCATTATCTGGTCATCGTAACCTAAGACAAAGGATACAGTTCCATGCTGACCTCAAGGAGAAGTACCACAAGCTACTTGAAGTAACAAACAAATAATAATATTAATAATAATAATAATAATAATATTAATATTAATATTGTTTTCATTGTTGTTGTTTAGGATCACAGGGTGTTGGAGGAGAAGTTCCAGTCTAATTCAGCAGCTGTAGCTCAAGCACTGCTGATGAGTAAAGATCAACCGGTACCATCACAACAAAGAGTGACCAGGAGCAAACTGAAGGGGAAGGAGAACATTAGCAAAATAGTTTAATATTATTATTATTATTATTATTATTATTATATTTATTTAGTTTATTATTGTTTTTCAACCCTTTACTTTATAATAAATGCTGTTTAACTCATTAATTATTCATTGAAGTGGGTGTGTTTATGCTGGGAAGGAGTGCCCAGGCCGGTTCTTTTGTCTAGAATAAAAATGGGTGCTACTTTGAAGTCCCTCGTTTACCTTCTGAAAGAAGCTCTCTTCACTTCAAAATACATCAACTACATAATGATACTGATACTGATAATGGAGAGTGTCCTGGTGCCAGTGATTGTATGGAAAGTACCTTGTAAGCAGTGATAATAATAATTATTATATTAATTATTATAATTATTTATTAATTAGATACTGAAATTGATTGGAAGGCTTACATGTCTGAGGTTGAAGGATTTTTGAATGGAACCAGAGACTATTCTAAACTTAGAGGAGACACTGGACCCCTTGTGTATGTAATTAACTGAGTGGGCGTACATTGAGTACATGTAGTATTAATAACTATTAATAACTATGTGTCCAATAGGTATCCAGGAGGTTTCCTGTACATATATTCAATATTGTATTATCTTACTTCAAGAGGATCTGACATTAAACTAGCTCAAGTTATATTCTCTCTCCTCTACCTCCTCAATATGACTCTGATACTTCAGATATACAAGAAATTATCTAACGTAAGTCTGGTCATGGTTGCTATGGTAACTGTATCATTTCCATGGTTACATGTATTTATTGTTCCGTTAGTTGGCCTCTTTCTCTCCGGTCCTCCTCCTCTTCCTATCCCTCACTGGTTACAGGGTACACTCCATTTTTGTACTGAGACTCTTTAACGATACTGTTGCCATAGCAACCCTTCACATAGCCATCCTCCTACTAATTAATAATTATTGGAATATGGGATGTATATTGTACAGGTAAGATATTAAATGTATTATTATTATTATTATTATTATTGGTGTCTCTTCATTGGTGTAGTGTTGCTGTTTCTATTAAAATGAATATATTACTCTATAGTCCTGGATTGGGGTTTATATTAATGAAGAGATTTGGAATTAAAGAAACAATAAAGAAAATAATTTTATGTGGACTAGTACAGGTAATAACTATATTGATAAACATGTGGAGAAAAAATAGAAAATTCTCTACTTTTCATTTTTGGCAAAATTTGGCCCATGACCCTGTACTATAGTACAGGGACTTTTGTCCGATTTTTGAGTAACTTTAAAAATTTGTAAAAAAATCCAAATTTCATCGGAATCAGCTCAAACTTTCTACACAACATAAGTGCATGTATATGCATCAGGAAATGTAACAAATTGAGGAATTTTTTACTTATTAATTTTGGCAAAATTGGACAAAAATCCCTGTACTATATAGTACAGGGACTTTTGTTTGATTTTGGAGCAACTTTAAAAAATCATGAAAAATTCAAACTTTATTGGAATCCGCTCAAAATTTCTACACAACATAAGAAAATGCATATGTATCAGGAAAAGTGATAGAAATAAAGAATTCTGTCCTTTTTCATTTTTGGTGAAATTTGACTCAAGACCATGTGCTATAGTACAGGGACTTTGGCCCAATTTTGGAGAAACTTTTAATTCATAATTATGTTATTTTTAGGTTGTTATTGGTTCTCCATTTCTCTTATCTCATCCTGTATCATACTTGATGATGTCATTTGATGTCACTAGAGTGTTCCTTTATAAATGGACTGTGAACTGGAGACTAGTACCTGAAGAAGTGTTTGTATCAAGATGGTTCCACTCCTCATTATTAATAATACACTTATTATTAATTATACTATTTATTAATTATAAATGGATGAAGTAGGTCCCATTAATTATCAAGTACATGTATATACTGATGATATTCTTGTTCAGGTCAATGAGGTACAGGGACCTGTTCTCCTGGACCAGTAATGGATCAATGGCTACTAGTGAAGGTACCAGCCCATCAGTAATAGTGTCCATTATACACTGGAGAAGTACATGTACTCCAGTATTAGTAATGATCATGTATTAGACTGTCTGTATTAGTAGTCTGGGGTCTATGCATCAGTAAGTGAATATAAGTATATATAAAGTATAAGAGGTCCTCTACTAGCAGTATATGGACTATTGTTTAATGATTACTGATGATGGATAGTCCTGCATTACATTATCATACATTACTAGTCCTTATTGTATCTATTCTCCTACTGATAGAACTGGTCTATTGTATGTATGTGAGTAACTTCATTGGATTAATGGTCTCAAGGTCACTCCACTATCAGTTCTATGTTTGGTATTACTATACACTACCAATACTGATGGTATGGGCCAGGATTAATACCCTAATTAGGTGAGTGGGTGTATGTTAGGGGGTGTGGTTAATTTCCTCTTATTTCTAGTATGTTACTGCTGGTTGGTATGGAGTATTGTTGGAATGTGTTCCCATCAACTGTGTATTCATCATTACTGCTACACATTATTCATATTATTATTATTAGTAATTTATTTATTAATAATAGAAAATAATTGTATAATTGTAACAAACATTTTAATAATATTTATAATAATGAAACTCCACTATTGGTAGTGGTTTGTGTGGTTGTTCTTTTCTGTGTCTATCAATCAATGTCTTCTTTTGATCTTCAAAAGTATCCACCAGGAGAGGAGGAGTGTATCCATCATTAATATGAATATATTCAAGTGATGGATGGATGAAGATAGTTTCATATAAATGTTGTACTAGTTCTATCCAGTTAGGTTGAGATGACTCTTTATTAATATCTCTACACTCTATCCTCAGTAGTCTGATGGTTGTATGCGACTGTAACATGTTAGTAACAGCAGGTAGTCCCTGTTCATAAAACAATGGTGTCATAATTTGTTCCTTCTCTTCCTCACTACAGTTACTGTATGGCTGATCTGGTTTGAAGTTCACTTTAAGTCCTGTGAGATTGTTCTTTTGAGAGATGACATTAATAAAAGTTCTTATTTCTTCATTCAGTGGAATGGGTACACTCAACTGCTGTAGACTGGTGTTGTGTCTGAGACCAGTTGTTAGGAAGGACAGGAATGAACTGGGAATGTCATACTTAATCTCAAGGTATTTCAGTGTTTGGTTTTGTGTTAGCATGTCTTGTAGACTAGTACCCATACTGCTGGTATATACTCTCTCCTTCTTTATCTCCACACTCAGAGCTTCAAGTGTAGTATTGGTTTGTAAAATAGTAAATAGTTCAATAGCACTCTTAGCTGTGTCTAGTGGTAAAGTAAGTGTATGTAGACTGGGATGAGAGAGAAATAGAAGATGTGGTGGGTATTGATCATCTATTATCAGACAGTGTAATCCTTTGATATGTGGAAGGAGTGATGATCTCATCAGTTTACTTTTATTATTCCATCTTCTTCCTCTTGTCTCTATAGCAGTCAGTGGTGTGTTCACCTCTACTATATTCAGTGATGATGGGAATTGATCAGGCATGTCCAGTGAAAGAGCTTGTAATGTATTGTTGTCTTTTAGTAACTGCTCTATTACTCCATCAGGTAGAGTACAAGTAAGAATATTATCAACATGTATTGTTAATGATGTTATTGTTTTATTTCTTGTTACTCCTCTAATGACACTGATAATGGTGCTTGCTATTTCATTCTTAATTCCTTTATTCTTAATATTCATTTCTTGCAGTGTTGAATTCATTTCTACACATTTCTCAAGTTCAGTGCACTTGTCTATGTGGTACGTATTGTCAATTGTTGGTATAGTAGGCCAGTATATTGTTAATTGCAGTATCTTCAATTGAGGAAGATTGAGGAACTGTAACAATACAAGACAGGGAACATATTGACCAATTGATAATACACAGTAGCACTCCTGAATATTGTATAGAAGTGATGATTGTAATAATTTGTGTATTGATTCATCAGTGGGTTCATATAACCTTACCTCCAGTCTCTTACACTGGGTCTGTAGTGAGTTATTGGTTAGTCCAGCAGTGAAGACTGATAGTGACTGGTTAGATACATGCCTCAGGTCCAAGTGATTCCATGTTGTGTTGGAATTGTTTATACAATAACTGAGACACAACCAGTCAAACAATGATATTGATACTCTATCCAGACTCAGTGAGTGGTTGTTGATGGATTGTGCTAATACTTGACATAATGTTGTGTTCTGTGATTCATACAGGAGTTGAAGAAGAAGAATGAAAACATTGTCAAAATCAACAAAACTGATATGATCAATAATCCCACTTATTTTAATCTCAGGATTCTGATAGAAGTAGGAGAGATGACAAGTTTCAAATCCAAACAATAGTTCCCTCTTACACTGTAAGTCAAGTTGTTGTTTATTAAAATACTGTTGATAGCTCTCATGTTCAAGGTGAGTTAGACCTGCCACAAACCTCAGACACATTCGAAAGTGATCATTATCAAAGTGATCCTTAAACACTTCCTCTCTCTTCTTCTCATGCTTAGCTATCCACCATGCAGCTAGAAATTCCTGTATACTCAAGTGAAGGAACTGATACTTCTCCTCATCATATTCTGTGAATCTTGTCATCAGTCCAAGATAGTCTTCCTTGACTGCCTCACTCAGTGACTGTAGTTGATGTGAAGAGAATGTCATTCTTGTATTAGCCAGGTTAGTATAAGCTAATTGACACATCTCTTGTAAAGGTTTAGCTAATTGTGATGGTAATGAAGAAAGACTACCTAAAGTATGTGGGTTAATGTCATGTCTTTTAACATGTCTTCTGATAGTTTGTAGGATAAAGTTCTCATAGAGTTGAGTGAGTGTTGTTGGTAAGTGTCCTCCTTCCTTACAATAAACTAAGATGACCATGGAACAGACTAGTGGTACATAACACAATGATTGGACATCATTTCGTACTTTAAGATCATTAATGAGTTTCACTGCTAGTTGTGAGTCCTTACTGCCTTGAGTGGTTGTGAAAGGTTCGTGATTTTTATCATCTTTTATTTTTTTATCAATGATTTCTTGTGCTAGTTTTGTATCTTTTTGAAGTGTTTGTATAATTACTGTTGATATTTCTTCCTCAGAAAACCCAATGACCTGAACATGTCTACTGAGAGTATCCATTTTCAAAAGTGAAGAGGAGGCATAGCTACGAGAGGTAACAATTACTGAACATTGATCTAACTTCTCTTTACAAATGATACTATCAGCTAATGAAGACTGTCTGAGTTGTTCACTTAGTTCATCCCAACCATCAAAGATTATCAGTAATCCTTCTCCATTCCTCTTCTCAAACCATTCAGCTACCATGGGAACTTCATACCGTTGACGCACAAACAGGTCAGCTAGTTTAGTAGCTGTAGCTATCTTGGTATTCCTTAAAGGACAGTAAAGTACCAAGTCATACTGTTGGTGTACAAGTGGTCCATTAGACCACATATTTAACAGTTTACGACAGAGTGTGGTCTTTCCAATACCAGGAGGACCGTCTATTACTACTCTGAGAGACAGAGAACTATCTGTTGGTTGCAGGACATCTTCAATACTTATCTCTTTGTTTCCAGTTAGTTTAACTGTTTTATCAACTTGTCCTCTTAGCAGATGCCAAGCTGATTTTGCTTGTGTGCTGGAGTCTTGTTTTTCTACTAGTGCTAGTCTTCCAAAGAAATCTTTTCCAATTCTTGGTGGCCAGTCTGTAGCAACAATAGGTTGGTGTTTGTAGTGTTGTCTCATATTGTCAGCATATCCTTGAACATCATCAGGTATTGAACTAATGGATGTGACATTATCAGGTATAGACTGACCTAATGTATTGAGATATAATGACTATATATATTGATCACTGATAATGTACACACACACACACTCACCTAACTGGTGTAATATAGAGGTAGCAATATCTGTTAGTGTACGATGTTGTTGGTTTATTAATACATGACATATATCAATAAGATACTGCTCTGGATTAAGAGAGGATTCCAACTGTCGTTGTATCACAGACACTAATTGACTTGATTTCCTATAATCAGATATTCCTGTTACTGTTTGTATATTCTCTTTAGTATCCAGTGGTATTAGTCCTTCAGCATACAGTGCATCAGCTACTCTGTAAAGGTTAGTAGTAATAGCATCAGTGAGTTTAACAGAATGAGTCCTTAATATATCCTTTGGATTACCTGCAGTAGTGTATCAGTTAATGAGTGTTGTATTAAGTGTATGTTTACCTGATGTAGTACTAGTAACAGGTTTATTAATTACAGAAACTGATGATGATACAGTAGATACTACTGGTACAGTACTAGTAGGAGCATCAGTATTACCTATTATACATTTAATATAATTATTAATATATAAATACATGATCATACCTCCTGTACATTGATGTACTTGTAACTGATCATTAATAGTTTGTAATAAATTGATCTCTTCTCTTATAGTCAATGCACTGAGTACATCTCTCCATGTTGCTGTAGGATTTGTATTCAACCATTTTATAAATAAAGCTAGTTTTTGATGTTCAGTATGCACTTGTTCAATTATAATTGTAATATTGTGTTGTGTTATTCCAGGTAAGAGAAGACCAAATGATTGCCAGTCAACAAGTGGTTCAAGCCATTCAAGTAATAGGAAAATATCAGGTTGATCATCAATCATAGGACCAGGATTGAGTTCAACATCTCCTGATAAGAGGAGGAGGAGAAATAAAACCAAATAGTAGATCAGGTCAGAGCTACTCCCAATAGTAGCTATAAACAAGACTAATGACTGGAGGCAGTGGATCATAACAGTAACAGTAATTATTAGTAACCCAATACCTATTGTAAATACACTGTATGATAATATTATATAATGTTAGCTTGTTTACCAGTTGGAGGAATAAAATTGAGCTTCATATATCTTAATAAAGATAAAAGAAGAGAAACAATAAGAGACAGAGCTGCTGGCAGTTTAGATGTCTTCTCTCCTGATGTAGTACTGCCTGACTTGCTGTCTACTGCAGCTTTGAATGAGTGAGAGTGGCGGCCATTAGCTGGTCTACTGGAGGCAGCTTGACAGTAGTTCCACAGTCCAATACTTGCTCTCCATTGAGAGACATCAATCATCTTGTAATTATTATTATTATTATAAATGATGTTAGAGACCAGTAGTTCCTTTATCCAGTGACTAATGGTAAAGAGTACAATAGAAGTGAGTGTATGTGTACCTGAACTATCATTGAATTATATTCATGGATCATTAACACTATATGCTATGAGTAGTGTCTGTAGTATCAGTACATAGTGATTGGTAGTATTGTCACTACTGACCATATTTTAACTACATTTGGCCATTTTTCAGATCAAAAGCAAATATTATATGATTGAGCAAATCATAAAATGTGATGCAAAAATATAATGTGTGCATAAATTGAGCTCACATTTGACTCAATAGGAAACTACAGTAGATTTCAGAATCAGTTTAATACTATCCTATGTCGGGATAATAATATACATGTCACCATGTAATTACAATTACAATATACTTACCTCTATCACTGTTAATGATCAACTGTTGTAAGATAAAGAAATGAAAAGATACAGTCGAAAGTACAAGCCAGACAAGCCAATTATGCTGCAGTTGCAAAAAGGTGTGGCTAAAAAATAGCCACACCCATTAGGAATATAATAAATAATAATATTAACCTTCAAGATGGTGTTTCCAGTAAACCTTCAGCTAAGAGACAGTGTTCTTCTGAGTTCTGATGAGTGTCAATATAATGATGGAGTCCAGTTTATTCACAGGAGAATAGGCTCCTCCAGTTTTTAAATATTATGGTATATATTACAGACTCATTTCTACTAATGATACATTATACATTTCCTTTATGTTGTGTAGAGAGTTTAAGCTGATTCCAATCAAGTTTGCATTTTTTACAAGTTTTTAAGTTATTCCAAAATGAGGCCAAAGTTTTTAGTACATGGTCTCAATCCAAATTTTGCCAAAAATGAAAAATAGAATATTCTTTATTTTTATAGCTTTTTCCTGATACATATACATGTACTTATGTTGTGTAGAAAGTTTGAGCTCATTCCGATCAAGTTTGGATTATTTTACAAATTTTTAAAGTTGCTCCACAATTTGACCAAAATCCCTGTACTGAAATATTGCAAAAAATGAAAAGTGGTGATTCTAAATCAATAGTTATAATAATACTAGTAATAATAATAATAATTATTATTATTATTATTATTTGCTGAGTGGTTCAGGAAATTTGAAGGAAGTTAATGTGAGAAAGCAAACACAGAAATTGAAAATACAATAACTATTTATTAATCATAAGCAAACACACACCCACTCATTATTTATTATTATTATTTCCTTTCCTCCCCATACAGCCCCTCAGTGAGTCAATGACCTGATACTGATACTGGTACTGATACTGGTACATATAAAGGTGGTGTGTAGCTTAGTCTATGGAAGGTCTAATGACAGAAGAATTGTGATATGTAAGAACTAGTAGGGGAATGACTATAGATTTCATTATACTAACAGTACATGACTACATGTAGGTTAGTAATGTACTGGAGTACATGTTCATGTAGTCTGTGTTGACACTAACCCACTTCATGCAGTGTTGATATCAAAGTTAAAGTGATACATCAATTACTATCAGTACATGTACAATTAAAGTGAATGAATTATGAATGGATAGTGTTCTTTATGATAGACAGTCAATCAGGACAATAGTTCAATTGTTGATAGTACAATAAACTGTTGCTTGTTACACTAACCTCAAACAATGTACACTAATTGAACAATCACTATCATTAATTATCATTAATTAATTAATCAATGGATCCTCCTTTGTTCTTTATTAGGTAACTGCTGGTCCTTTGTTAGGGATATTATCATCTCCTGGTTTCCATAGCAACCAGTCATTAATGAAACCACAGACACAACAAACTTAGAAGAGAGAGGGAGGGAGGGAGGGAAGGAGTGAAATTGAAGCTAAAGGTGAATATCTTATTTCAAAGGACAGAAAATATCAAGAAATCATTTTTAAGGTTTACCGACACACTGACTGGCCCCCTTGAATGGGTCTGGGATTATTGGTAAAATTTTTAATATTATTTTTGTAATTAATAATGTATTAAAAATGAATTCATAATATATCACACGACAATAATTATTATATTAATTAATAATGTTAATTCTTCCTTCAATTATTGGATTGATTTCTCCCGGAGCCATGAACTCCCTAATCATTAGTAGTTATCAGTGGTTATTAATAGTTATTAACTGACCTGCAGTTCAGTGAACAGCTGCTGACAGAGTGTAGACCGTTGTTGTTATTGTATTTTGAGATGATGTAGTTTCTAACTAAAGTAGTCAATGTGATACCACTCTCCTCGTCAACCTAATAACAGTTAATTAATAGTTATTGTTAGTTATTATTAATGACTCACTATTATATTACAGTCTTTAAATACAGAGTATCCATCCTTACCACCAGCTATGTAGGACTTTGTACATAATTTGTAAACCTACCAACAATCAATTAATAATCAATTAATAATCAATTAATAGATATTCATTACTTGATCCTCTCTCATCATTTCTCCATTAATCAGTACACTGGTCCTAATGATCCTACTCCTAGGAGCTGCTCTTGAGTTGAAGGTGAATGATAGTCCTGATACCTGGGGGAACCTCCCCTCCAGCCGTGGGTAACCACCCACACCATTCTCTAGTGCTAGGAGCAACTGGTGGCCTCTGATCTCCATGACAACCAGAGAATCAATCATTGGTAGAATAGACATTAGATCCTATTAATAATAATAATAATAATACAGTATAGTCTCTCTTAATGGACACTCTCTATAGCGTACACCTCCATTTAACGGACAGCACCTAGTGTACCAATTACATTCCTTACTGTATAAAATAACCTCCACATAAAGGACACCTCTGTATAACAGAGACAGTGCCCTTATATAGAGGCTAGTCTCTCCCAGTTACCTTCAGTTTGAAGTCCCCTGGTTCATGGAGTGTATCTGATCTCAGTGTCCCTGAGTTAAGCAGTGCTAGGTCACTGCTGGTGCAGTGTCTCATGATATCAGTGATCAGGTTCCCAAGGTTAGTCTCTCTGCTTCTGATGCTACTGAACCGTCCATCAAGAGGGCAGCCTATCTCTCCAATCTTCTCCTCTAGTCCGTTTGATACTTGAACTGAAAACCTTTCAACAATACACTGGAGCTCTTTATCCTATAGCAACAACACATGTACGTTAATTAATAATAACACATGTACATGTACATGTAGTTTCATACCTGTTCATATTTCTTGGTTACTGTGTGTTTCACTAGTTCAATGGTGATTGGTTGAGTCATTTTAATGTTAATTTCACTGAATTCTCTAAAGTCTGATCCACTCTTAACAAATAATCTATTTTTAGTATCATCATCGTTAAACTGATAATCATATTCATGATCATGTCCTCCTAGTATTAGTTGTATTTCAGGTACTTCATTGAATAACTTGAGATCATTAGGAGTCCTCATGTGGGTCAATGCAATGATCAGTTCACATCCCTAATAAGGAATAGACACATGTACTTGATACCCTAACATTATGTACATGTACCACCCTATACCCTAACCACCCTATACCCTATTGGTAATACATTATGTACATGTACATGTATGACCAGTTCACAACCTTAAGGAATAGAACATAATTATACATAATATCCTAAGATGTCCCTTTTGTTAATATCCCATTAATAATACATTATTAACATACATGTACATGTATCACCCTAATAATACCACCCCATTATTAATACATTATGTACATGTACAGTATATCCTCACATTATTCTTGAGTATTGGTATGTATTCTCTAGCTGACTCTATGAAGTCAGTATAGACCACCTCCTCAGTACTGATGGTGGGTAGTGTCTCCAGCCACTCCCACTCCACCAGGCCTAATATACCAACCTATGAGTAATTAATAATTAATATAATGTTATTATTATTATTATTATTACTTTTATATTGTTCCAGGTTATTATTACGTATTTCTTTCCATTAGCTAACTGTCTCTTTGTGTTAATGCACTGGACGTTACTCAGTAACCATGGAAACCGCGTCTCCTTGGTGATATCAAGCAAGTGATCAACACCAAAATCTAAAGAAAGAGAGAAAGGTGGTGATATTATTATTAATGATACAATATAATCAGTTGCTACATACCAAAGTCATGGTTACCATACAGTGCTACATTAACTCTTAATGAGTTCAATACTGGAATCATCTGACGACCCTCAGTAACAACACTCACTGAAGAGGAGGAGACCCATCATTAACAACCATTAAATGTCAATAACTAACTGTTTGAAGGTGCTAGTGCGTCTCCACTGAAGAGTACCAGTGGGTTCTTGTACTGTAGGCTGTTGAATGCTGTCTTAAATCTTGAGGCTCCGCCCACTGGCTCCCTCTCCCTCTCCTCAATATTATACACATCATTGAAATGAAGAATGGACAAGGACTGGACACTACTGGAGGAACCTGCTGAATGTAATGACACCTTTTAATATACTGCATCAGGAAATATTATAAAAGTGAAGAATTCTTTCCTTTTCATTTTTGGTGAAATTTGGCTCGTGACCCTGTACTATAGTACAGGGACGTTGGTCCAATTTTGGAGCAATTTTAAAAAATCGTAAAAAATCCAAACTTGATCGGAATTAGCTCAAACTTTCTACACAACATAAGAACATGTATATGTATCAGGAAATGTAATAAAAATGGAGAATTCTCTCCTTTCCATTTTTGGTGAAATTTGGTCAGTGACCCTGTACTATAGTACAGGGACTTTTGTCCGATTTTGGAGCAACTTTAAAAAATCGTAAAAAATCCAAACTTGATCGGAATTAGCTCAAACTTTCTACACAACATAAGAACATGTATATGCATCAGGAAATGTAATAAAAATGGAGAATTTTCTACTTTTCATTTTTGGCAAAATTTGGCCCGTGACTCTGTACTATAGTACAGGGACTTTGGCCCAATTTTGGAGCAACTTTTAAAAGTTGTAAAAATTCAAACCTGATCTCAGAATCAGCTCAAACTTTCTAGGTAGCACACAAGTAATTACATGAACATCAATATGTATTGAAATATGCAAAAAATGCTAGTAATTTTTTGTTAACCATTTTTGGAATAATGGACTACATACATTTATATATACATGTCACATTGCTCTGTCCCTACATTAGCTACTTTAGACTGCACACATTAAAACTAGATTAAAGGAAGAGGATTTGAAGGAGAAGAGAGAGGGAAAGAAGAAAAGGGAAAGGACACTCACCTAAAGTACCTTTAGTTTGCTTCTCATTATCATTAGCACTGCTGGTTGTGTGTATTGGTACTATCCTACCACCAGCCTTAACACAATAACCACTGTTAGCTGATATACTGCACCTAGACCCCATCACACACACACTAAGGAGTGTTTATAATGAGTGAGTATCAGTTTACAACCTCCTTTACCCTCGCCTTTACCCTCGAGTTTCAACTTTCGAGTTGTTTGTTTGTGATGAGTCAGTCACGATCACTCAGTGAGAGGGTGACGCCCATTATTAGCCACGCCTACTCGACCACACCCTAACATTTTCCCGGGTAATCAACCGCACCCCGACTGCAGTAGATTAAATTATCACTCCCTCACAGTCAACCATAACTACAGAGCAGACCCACTGGCTTCAGTTCATTCATAGGTACCAGTATGAGCTATTATCATGGACTCATCTCCAGCAAGAAAGCAGAAGCTATTCTCAATTGTTCCCTCAGCAATGGATCCTTTCTATTGAGGGACAGCCAGAGCAAGCCAGGCCACTTTGTACTCTCAATAAAGTAACCAATAGCAGCCCTTGTATCACCCAGCTTATGAGCAGTTCCTTTACAGGTATCATGGTAAACTTTATCATGTCCTTGTATTTCATGAGGTAAACAAATGTTGTTTATTGTTGTTTATTGTTGTTTATTGTTGTTGTGTTAGTTTGGTCAGTATTATCTTGACAGCAGTGCCAGTTCTGATGATAAGTTCAATAGTTTGGAGGACCTGGTTTTGTTTGGTATGTCTCATGAGCTCAGAGTGGCTGGGGAAGAGGTGACTCTCCTTGAGCCAGTCATCAGTGACACTAGCAGTACAGTACAGATACTGAAACCATACAGTAATGGTGAGATGGCTATTGTTATACACTGATGAGTATTTACTTCATGTGGTAGGAATGCGTAATAAAAGAGATGAGGTTGAAGATTATGATATCTTGACTGATCTATTTGCTTCAGTATTTGGCTCTCATTGCTCAGTGAGTTACCATGGGATTGGTACAAATTGATAGAATGTTATTTGGCAATTTAAGTTACATTCGTCATTAAGTTTTTTTAAATAAATTTTAATATTTCTTAGGTCCTCGTTGCAGTTCACAGTTACCTTAACTTTGATGGGTCTCCGCTATCATCTGATGCCAGTTATCTTGTGTGTGTTGTCAAGGACAATCACCTCAAGGCATTCTTTGTCCGTACTGTTGATCTCAGTGTAAGTATATTCATCAGTGAAGACTATTGAATGATGATTACTTTAGGATAAGAAGATTATTGCAGAAAAGAAACTAACTAAACATTTTGAGTATGACACTCCATCAGAGCTAGTCCTCACTTTTCTATCAGAAGTAAGTGAACAGTCAGTCTCAAAGAGCTGATGGTGTGTTTAAGAGAGCGTCAACAAACACTGAGGGAGGAGAGCATGCTTAGCCAAATGTTCAGTCACAACACTAAACTGTTCAATAACACGAATATATAATTAGTCATAATAACTCATTTATGTTTCTCTACACTATCACTTTAAATGGAAACAATAAAAATTCATAAACAGACCAACAAGTGTGACAGTGTAATCATAATTCAATTATTGTGTTTCCAGCAAGGAATCACTTGCATTGGATTCAAGAACAAGCAAGACATGGACATGTTCACTAGACATGTTGACAGGATAGTGCAAATACAACAAGAGAAATCAACACAGCAGGCAAGAGTAAGGGACACTGGATCCTCCAGTCCTAGCAGAGGAGGACAGGAATGCAGGAGAGAGTAAGTGAATCATTAGGAGTGTTCACACTACCAAATTTGGTATTATTTATTGTTTAGAGGAAATACTCGACAATTAAAAGCTGAAGAATTTGATGTAATTCATGAAAACATTTTAATAATAATTGATGGCCATTTTTAGATTTATAATTTGAGTCCTGAATGGGATTATCTCCTAGAGCAGGCCGGAGTGACTACTGAGATGCTGCAGGAGCAGAGTACACTACAGTTCATACTGGATAGGGTCAGTGAGATGGGGGGACCTCCTAAAACTGTTCAAGAGTCGGACAAAGATGAGAGACTAGCAGCAATAGCAATGGACTCAGTCCTGAGGGCTGAGACCATCAGGGCCGAGAGATTAGCTGATAAAATAAAACACATCACCTTGAACTCACCATACCCTCTCCCTCGTAAGATCCACCCTCCATCCTGCCAGTACAGCAGAGTCTGCTCCAGGTACAAGGATATACTATTACTAAGGACCAGTCTGACTGCACTAGCTCCAATCAGGTGCAACTGCTACTGCAGTACTTGTGCTGCTGGTAAACCAACAGTAGCAGTATCAGGAGTACCACCTCAACAATACACACTACCCATTGGATGGACCCAGTTCATACTGAGGTATACCTAATGGTTGGAGTATTGTTTGTGTTATCATTTGTTCTTTATTGCTGCAGGTCTCAGACTCATTCATTAGCTCAAAAGTTTATCGGAAATTGGCATGTAGCGTTTACATGTGTAGCCTGCAGCTCAGTTGGTGAAATAATAAGAACAGGATCATCATTCAGTGGAGGAAGGAAAGAGCTGGTACTCTCTCCTGATGTGAAATGGTTGAAGAGAATAACCCGTGGACTAACACCTGAACAGTAAGTGAATGAACTGTTCTCTTGTAATGTGAAACACAAAGTATCAACAACATTGAAAACCATGTGTACAGTTACATTCATATTTCAATAGTTATTATGATGAAATTGAAAGAATTGATTACCGTGTCACCACTGCATTTCAAGTAATGATGATAATAATAAACTGAAATCAGTGATGGTTCTATGTAGGTGTTTATACAGCCTGGATCATATACAGTGACTGGCTCCAGTGATTACAAGTATCCTTTACAAGAGAAATGGGAAACTACTGAAAGAACTCACGTTACCTATGCACTGTTGATTCATGTACAGAAATGCTAATAATGATAATATAATCATGAACTATTGACACAAAGATTTATCATTCAGTAATATTCATTGTACTATAATTGAAAATGCTTAAGGAACATGTTGTTTGCTAGTGAACATTATGTAAGCAGTTTGCAACCATTCATTAATATTCATAGATAATCATTAATATTCATTAGTATACGGACTGTGTACTGAAGTGAACATTGTTATCCGGATCTCTACTCTCGACCTCATCTCAAGATGGCTAACGTTACTAAGCTTTACGTTGGTAATCTCTCGGAGACTGTCACTTCAAAACACCTCAAGGAGCTGTTCGGTAACTTTGGACAGGTTGATGAAGTGGCTGTCCTTCGCGGCTTCGGTTTTGTGGTAAGTTGAAACAGAACCAACGACTACCGACTCAACCCGCCTCCCTCCCTCCCTCCCTCTCAGCACTTCAGGAGGAACTCTGACGCTACTGCAGCTCTCAAGGCGTTGGACGACACTGAGTTCATGGGCTCACACATTCAAGTCCAGGTCCCTAGCCACGCCCACTGACCCACCCATTAATTATTCCATAGGTATCCCATAGTCGCGGGTTTGGCTATGGCAAAGGGGGCGGGGGAAGTCGTTACCATGACAATGATCACCGTGGAGGGTCAGTTATACTTCGTTTGATAGTTTTTGTGTATATTGTGTGAGTGTGCATTAATTAGAATAAGTGTCGTTATTTTTCAGTCGAGACAGAGACTACGACAGACGATATGAGAGAAGTAGTCGCCACGACAACCGATACGATCGCCACGATGACCGATATGATCGTGATCGTCATAGCAACCGATATTCGTCCAACGACCATTACTACGGAGGGAGCGGAGACCGTTACTATAGCGATCGTCATAGC